ATAAGCATTTATGCCATGCTTACTAAGTTACCAGAATTTATTTGTCTGTGGTTTACTTGTTGAGATTTATTGTGGAGTCAGCTTTTGTCTGTAATCATAGTTGATTTCTATACCTTTGTCAGTGGTATATATAAATCCCCGTGTCTTCATAAGTAACTTCTTACAAGATGCTATCATCTTTGCTTTCTTTGAAAACCTCACCTAATTAGAGCATATTTTCAATCATATGTCAAATGATTAAGGACCTTATTTATATTTGTATAGTTTGTTTTTCTTTAAAGCTCAATACCTTGTTGGTTGATATGCTATTAAATTCACACAAATGTTGGGGGTCCTTGGAGACAAAGTAATAATAATGTTGATGATGATGATGATGATGATGATGATGACAATAATTACTTAGTGGAGGAAGCTTTGTATTCTGTTTGTTGGAGATATTGATTTTCAAATTCACCAAAAAGTCAGTAATGAAATCCATCAATTTTTACATAACACTATGTAGAAACAGGAACTCTGGAAACCCCATGGGAGTGGCTCACCTGAACATGTTAATAATTTTTTTTCATGAAAAAGGGAGGCTTTATTGGAGGATCATGGGCTCAAATCAAGACAGGATAAGCAGTGTAAATAAGATTGAAATAGATTTGGATCTAGGTATAAAATTTTCAAACAATTAATAGAATTATTATTTTTGAAATATTTTACTTCTTGATAATACACCTGACATAATGTTTACATTCACTGAAGTGAGAAAAAATATCTGCACATAATACTCTCCTTAGATTTGGAATAACAAGAATGTAGACAGAGAAATTCAGCATAACAATATAGCTCAACTAATTCTTTATCTATCTATCTATCTATCTATCTATCTATCTATCTATCTATCTATCTATCTATTTACAGTTTCTATCTGTTGCCCTGGCTGTGGACCAGGCTGGCCCCCAAGTTGCAAATTCACTTGCCTCTGGCTCCTGAGTGCTGTGATTAAGGCATGTGCCACCACCACCCAGCTTAATTCTTCTTTTTCATTTAGGAAGACATTAAACATAGATATTCTGATGGGGATGTTCTTCTCTATATATTTATCTCTTATTGGTTGATGAATAAATCACTGATTTTCCAGAAGCAAGAGAGGAACTATGGGTGGGGCTATCAGACATAAGAATTCTGGGGAGAGGAAGCATAGAGTAGCCACCAGACAGACATCATGTAGCCACTGAAGGAGTAACAGGTCCAGATATTTCCGGTAAGATAAGACCACATGGAAATACTTAGATTAATAGAAATAAGTTAACAATTAAGACACAGCTAACCAATGAGAAGCCTGAGCCACTGGCCAAACAGTTTATAGTTAATATAAGCATCAGAGTGTTTATTTGGAACTGAAAGTTTACAGGACCAGGCGGAACAAGAATCTCCATCAACAATATTTCATTACACTAAGATTGTGATCTCTTAATGCACAGCTTCCTACGATGTGATTTCCCACACCTCAAAAAATCTGTCTCTAAGTGATTTATTTCTAGCCAAGGAGGAGGGATGTCCTCATTCAAAATCTGTTTTCACCATAATTTCCTTAGCCTTCTAGAAACATTCTTAAGATCAAATGCAGTGTGAGTAGTGTTGGAAGGTTTTGTATTTATTTTGTATTTATCGTGCAAGAATTAAGTCCACTCAACTTCAAAAATATTCATCACATATAGTTCATTTTCTAAGTCTAAACAAATCTCCATTACTCTGTTGTTATCAATAGAAAATCAAGTTCATTTCCCTCAAATTAAGATGGAGGTAAGAAGCATAAGAGGCTAAATGCAAGAAAAGGGCAACTGCTGATTCTCTCTGTTCTTACTGAAATGTAGCTTTTTTTTCTTTTATCATTTTTTATTTTAATTTTAAAAAGCTTGTTTTACATGTCAATCCCAGTTCCCTCTCCCTCCCCTCCTCCCGCACTCTCTCCCCCCCCAGCCTCCCACCCTATTGCCAATTCCTTCCACATAGGGGATATCTAGAGTCTGTCATTTCACTCTGGGTAAGGTCCAGGCACTCCCCTAAGAGTCCAGGCTGAGAGAGCATCCCTCTTTGTGCTATGGGCGCACAATGACGGTTTGTATACCAGGGATAGACACTGATCCACAGCTCAGGGCCCCATAGGTTGCCCAGGCCTTCTCGCTGACACTCACATTTGGGGGGGCCAGATCAGTCCCATGCTGGCCTCCCCACTGTCGGTCTGGGGTCCAAGAGCTCTCCCCTGTTCAGATCAGCTGTCTCTGCTAGTTTTGCCAGCCCATTCTTTGCCAATTTGCTCATCACTCCCCTCTCTCTGTCACTGGGTTCCTTGGGCTTAGTTCAGTGCTTAATTGTGTGTTTGCTTCTGCTTCCATTAATCACTGGATGAAGGCTCCCAGATGGTTATAGACATCAAGTTCATTATCAGGAATGGGCATTCGAGGTGGTCTCTCCACTATTGCTTAGCTTGCCAATTGGTGTTATCACTTTAGATCACTCAAGGTCACTCTGGTGCCTGATCTGTCTTCTAACCTATGATTCCCTCTTCCCCCTATTCTACCCCCACCCACCCAACTTCCTGTTCCCCCAAGACCTACTCTCTCTTCCTCTTCTCCCCCTCTCTTTTTCCCAGCTCCCACTCCTCCCACCCCTCACCGTGTTCCCCATCTATTCAGAGGATCTTGTCCAATCCTCTTCTCTTGGGTACTGTGTATATATGCATATCTTTTAGGTTCTTTCCTGTTTCCCAGACTCTCTATCAGTGGAAGTGCAGACTGGCACTATCCTGATCCATGTCTAAAATCCATATATGAGTGAGTTGAAATGTAGCTTTTCGTAAAGAGAGGTTGCTTAAGGGCCAGGGCCATGAAGGATGAACTCTGGTTAGGGTGTTACTGTGGTGTTTCTCTTCAAGTTTTTCTCTCCAGAGCTCTGATCACTGCAAGATGTAGGTATTCAGTGGCAAAGCAAATCTATAGGTATAAGCAGGTTGTTTTCTATCTATCTATCTATCTATCTATCTATCTATCTATCTATCTATCATCATCTATCTGTCTATCATCTATTCTCTCTCTTTCTCTCCCCACCCTCTCTCTCAACCTTGACCACTGAAGTATTGCCTGCTGTGTTAGGGTAGGAGTTCTGAAAAGGAATAGACTATTCTTGTATTCTAAAGTAATGAGTATCAGAAAAGGGAAAGGAATTTAGAAGTCCACTCTCCTCTCTTTGCCTTGAAATTGGCATAGCAGTAGGGAGTCAAGTTCTTTCAGATAGGTTCAATGTGTACTCAGATAAAAATAAATGAAGGCTTATCTGGAAGAAGTTTACGTGATTGTACAAATATTAAAACATTTCAATTTGTAGGAGAAAGAAGGTAGAAAAAATGAGGAGGGTGTGGTACTCTTGTCTGCATCCTAAGACAACAGTTGAATCCGAAAGCAATGATGAAGCAAGCACGAGTTATGGAGATGCAGATTGCTTTCTGCAAAAACAAAAAACTAGGTTAATAAAAACCAGTGTTTGTGACATAGATATTAGTGCCTGTTATCATCAACATTATATTGCTTAATATGTACAGAATTTTGAGTGTTTATAAAAACTAATACTTTAGTTTAAATTCACATGTACTCGGTTCCATTGTATATATAATTCTCTTTCCCGACCTCTTTAATGCCACATGCTGAGGAATGTGTTACTTCTTATAATATATTAAATATATAATATGGTTTTATTCTAGAATATGTTGAAAGCAACGCAACATAATATACCACTAGCTACGCACCCTATAATAAGGAAGTTGTGAAACTTCTTATCTATAAATTATAATTGTATTATGAAGAACTTAAATTGTATCTACCTTGTCTTGTGCTAATTTTTCCAAGATAAACAGTCTCATAATTGTAGCAGTTTCCTTTTTCTTCAACATGGGTAATATTTGTCACTTTTTCCAGGGCAATATTGCCTCTTTATCTTGCCTGGACTATACTGTGCAGCTGGTACTGCTTTTGAACAGTAGATCATGTAGCTTTAGGCTTCCAAGCTCTCGGATGGTTACTGTGTGTCACAAGCCTGGCGCAAAAAAGCAGCTTCACACATGAAGATGAGTGCGATAAATCCTACATGTCATCACAGCAGTAGGGAAGCTGAGGCAGAAGGATTATCAGTTCAGGGCCAGTCTAAGTCACATAATGAGATTCCATGTCCCCAGCCACTTATCTAGAAAAGTGTCCTGTGAGAGGGTGATCCTAGACTTCAGTGTTTATAGAGATTTGGAGATGAAAGAACTGATATATGGAATTGAGAACAATCTAAACGGAGCATCTGCATATGCACAACCTACTTCCTTTGTCATATTCAGTGTCATAATTTAACAATGTTCGAAGTCATAGCTCTTCGTGATGTGTTCTGACAATGAAGTACAGCATACACTGATTTAATATACAATATACAACTTTAGTTACCATGGTATTTACTTTAAATTTTCATAGTTTCTTGCTAATAAAATACCTGCACATTCAAGACTTTTTACAGAAAATTGTACCAGTTGAAAAATAAGAAAAGCAAATACCAGACCTTTTATATGCACTTGGAATCTACATGATAAGGCAATCCAATTTCCTTGTTCCTCTCCTCTATTTTTCCAATCTTTACTTGTGTCCAGTAGATGTCAGTATTGGATAATAGCATTTCTCTTACTATTTGCACAACGCTTAGGAGAAACATGAGTTGTCCTGTCTACCTTGATGTGCAAGTACAGACTCTGTCAATTATATGTATTTAGATAATTAACACTATAGGCTACTTCCAGGTGCTGGTGATATTTAATGTTCTTAAATATTTACCTTGTGCTTCTTTTGTCCCGTGTTTATCAATAAGAGAGGATGAAATGTGTTATTATTTGGGAGCAGCAGCTTGCAGATTGCTAGGAACAATATTCACCAGTTCTGCCCAGATGTATATAAATGCAATTCCTCATTTTGTTCTTATCACAGCCTTTGGATTTTGAAACAAAGAAGGCATATACCTTCAAAGTAGAGGCCTCCAACCTCCACCTCGACCACCGATTTCACTCTGCTGGCCCCTTCAAAGACACTGCTACAGTCAAAATCAGCGTGCTGGATGTGGATGAGCCCCCAGTATTCAGCAAGCCGCTTTACACCATGGAGGTTTATGAAGACACTCCTGTGGGGACCATCATCGGGGCTGTCACAGCCCAAGACCTAGATGTGGGCAGTAGTGCTGTCAGGTAAGAATACCAATTTTTAATGTGTATTCAACAAACAAAACTTAACCAAGTCAACAGGAGGAGAAAGCAAACTCAATTATTGAATGTGCCACCGAGTAGTATATCATATGCCACAACCTTAATGAATTCTTATGAGTGTAATGGTGGAGGTATTGCCATAGAAATTTAGCATAAACAAACATCACAAGTCCTTACAATATGAATTACAGTGGTGTAATGCTGGACATATTACTCAATCTAATCAATCACTTTTGTTTTCATTTATAAAAGTGACAGAGCAAAACAACTTCAAATTATTCACAAGATTAGTAAAGGGTGATTTCCACGACATGACTCACTTAGGGAAGGTGACACAAATATTCCATTGTTAAAGTTGTAATCTGGATCAACAACCTTTTTAGGGGACATTGGATGTGGGACTCTTGGGTTGGAAATAGAATCATTTAAGAGTTTGGGTGATGTTTATTTGGAATGGATATGTGGTGAGTGAGAAGGTAAATAAGGTTGGCCATATGAATTGGAACTGCTAAGATGTCAAGTAATGTGTCTGTCTGCCCCTTCCTCCCTTCCTAATTTTCTCCCTTTCTTAATGTCACCCATGGAATAGTATTTTAAAGCTTTTCTCTAGCAGAAATTATTATTTCTGGACTATTTTGTTGAAAATATATGTTAGTAACATTTGTCCTTTCTCTTTGTCCTTACAACTCTCCCATGTACTGTTACCTCGTCTTCTTCATATTCATGGTCTCTTCAATAATTTGTTTCTTGTTTATCTCTAATATGTCATTAGATTGGTTTTATCAATTGTGTTCTACCAAGACAGTATTCAAGGTCACTGGCTAATCTTAACAAAGATACAATCTTTTTCTAAAGTTAACCAATATTTCTCTTCCATCTGACCACTTCTCAGAATCACTCTAAATGTCTACATATTACAGAAATTAAAAACTCCTTCAGACCCTGGCCATCTTTCAGTTAGGGATTTGTTACAAAAGAATCTGTCACTTAGTACGGGTTTGCATTCCTACCATTTCAGTTTTCTGTGACAGAGCCCTATAACATTTGGAGCAAGAAACAAGTCCATGCCACAGTCAGGAAAATTTCAATTCCACAAGCAAAGTGATGGCAGATGTGGCATCTTGGTTATGTCCCCATCTTCCTCTGCCAGATGATCTTTTATTCGTAGAACAGAGTAAGGAGCAGCTTCACCAAGGCCCTTTAAAAACATCAATTAGCAGGCTGGAGAAATGACTCAGCAGTTTAGAACAGATGCTTCTCTTCCACAGTACCTGTGTTCTGTTCCCAAACTGGGGGCTCACAGCAACTTGTAGTTCTATTTCCAGGAAGTCCAATACCTTCTGTGGCATCCTCAGATGCTGTACATACAAGGTAAACAAAAATGAGTATGAGAATGCACATACATGCATTAAATATTCAAATGTTAAAGAAGGATAGTAATCTCTAACTTAAAGATGCCACCCAGATTCATTACTTCTTCCCCCAAAACTTCATCTCTTAACTACGTAGCTTAATATTCAATTCAGTATTTTGATATATAAAGGTGTGTGTGTATACATATTGTAGGAATTTCGATGGACCGGATGGGACAGGTATTCTGGCACTTGGGAGTCACAGAATACTAAATGTTACACATCTCAGATAGAAAGGTATCCTGGAGCTCGGGAGCCAATGACTACCAAAGGCTGCAGTAAGAAGCATAGCAACTTACAGCCCTACCCAGCAGGAGAGTCTTCTAGTTGGGGATGTCTGCTCAGAGTAACAGTTTTGCTCAGGCAGGAGAAGGTTTCCCTGGTGAAGATGCTATAGTTCAGCTCCGCTCCAGGGAGAATGGAGAGCAGAGTGTAACAACCCTGCTCTGCCAAGGGAAGGTTTCCCAAGCAGAAGTGTTACAGCCCTGCCCGCTCTGCTTTAGCCAGTGTTGCCTCTGTTCTGCCACAAAAGATCTTCACCCAAAGCTGGCCAAAGGGGTTTATTGAGAGGGAAGAATCCAGGAGAGTGGCTGCCCTCTGCCAGAGTGGCAGAGGACAGCTGGGTAGCACAAAGAGCCACAAGCTAAACAGACACAGTATTATATAGGGCTTCCAGGGTGGGGATTGGTCAGTTTTTAATCTCTTGCTCAGGGATTGACTAGTTTTCTGCACAGGGTTAGGGTCAGATTTGGCTCTGGTTTTAGAGTCAAAGTGTGTTTCTTTCACTGGTCCTATTTAGCCTTTTGGCTCTAGTTTTAGAGACAGGATGTATTTCTTTTACTTGCTCTGATTCCAGGAACAAAGTGTGTTTCATTGGCACTGATTTTGGGGTCAGGGTGCATTTCTTTAGTTCTGGTTGCAGGGCCAAAGTGTGTTTCTTTGGCTCTGCTCAGGGTGTGTTTCTTGGGCTAGCCCTCTTTCCCTAGAGATGTGAAGTGTGTGTGTGTATGTGTGTATGTGTGTGTGTGAGTACACATGCATGCACATCTATGTGTGTATGGATAATTGTATGTGAACATGCAGAGTCAAGAGAAAGATGCCCTGAAATCTCACAATTACTGTCTGCCTTGTTTTGTGAGATGAAATTTCTCTATGGCCTTGGATATACTCTGTGGCAGCATGTCTGAGAGATCATAATATCTCCACCTTGTACAGAGCTAGGGATGTGGATATGCATTGCCATAACTGTTTTCATTTTTTACTGTTGTTTTAGTTTTGCCCTTTGTTTATTTTTTCCAAATGGATGATGGGATCTCAGCTCAGGTTCTCTTGCTATGAAGCTAGCACACTTATGAGCTGAGCCATCTCTCCAGCACATAGGGATATGAATTTTGAAATGTTACACCCAATCAATCATAATCCTTCCCTCTTCACATCCTGTGGCAGGCTTTTTTTCGGCCACCAGCCCCAATCATGACTCAGAGATTACTATTAATTATGAAAGCTCAGCCTTAGCTTAGGATTGTTTCCACTTAGCTCTTAATACTTTAAGTAACCCATTTATATTAATCTAGATGCTGCCAGGTGGCACCTGGGTTTTATTTATTTTCTATATATCCTGCATCTGGTGGGCTTCTCTGCCTTTCTTCTTCACTGAGACCTCTTTGTCCAGAGAATTCCCACTTAACCTCATCCTGCCTAACTATTGACTATTTAGGTATTTATTAAACCAATCACAGGGAGACATCTTCACACAGTGTAAATGGGAACTCCAAAGAATTACATCTCACTCGTGTAAGAAGAGAGAAACAGTAAGTAAGTAAGTAAGAAGAGAGAAACTGGGTACTCTATATTTCAGTGAAAATGCTCTCCAGGTACTCCATTGAAAACAAGCTATATTTACAATTTTATTATTACAAAACCTTTAAAAACTATGCAAAGACATATGGCAATTTGTGAGAGGTTCACAAGACTGTTATATATTGGTATTCTGTCCTTTGTCAGTCATGTTGCTGAAGCTTGCTTAATTACTGGCAGTGGGAAACATCTGATGAAGAGATTTGTGTTAATTTTTGTAGAACATGGATGGATATTTTAATAGGCTTCTTTTGGGATTACAACCAGCTCCCAAATCATGAATGGGGACTTCTTACTAGTTTTGAATGCTGGACCTTACCTTAAAACTTATTTCTTGCAAGCTCTTCTAACTTGAATTAATCATATTTCTCTTTATCTAAATTTTGCTTTGGGGCCTTTTAATTTTATTTCATTCTGTATGTCTTACTTCCCTGTTTTCTTCTGTGGCTGCCTGGCTAGTAACTGCCTGGCTTCTGGCCTGGGCATGTTCCTCTCTTTCTCCCTCATTCTCTCCTTTCTTCTCTTCTTCTATTTATTCCTTCTGTCTACCAACTACAACTATGCCTCTCTGCTTAGCTATTGACTGTTTTGCTTTTCATCAAACCAGTCAGGTGCCTTAGCCAGGCAAAGTGAAACAACACCTTTGCACAATTAAACAAATACAGCATAAACAAATGTAACACAGATTTACATAGTTAAAGTAATATTCCTCAGCATCTTTGCCTAGTTAAAGTAATATTCTAAAACAGGTTATTGCAGACATGTTAAACATTTATAACAATCAAGAAAGCCATATTTTAGTAAAATCCCCCTGTTTATTTAGGTTTTGGCACAGATGCTACCATCTGACCTCCCTACTGTAAGTTAACTAAAGTGGTATCCTCAGCTTTACTTCTCATGAGAAGTGCTTTCTTTCCCAAAACAACAGACACAGATGGAGCTAATTGATCCCTGTGAGGAGTTGTCAAAAGACTTATTCTTGAATGACATGAAAACTTAGCTGCATTTCCTTGGGGTAAACAAGAATATTAAATCATGTCTGTTGATAAAACATAGGCCCTGAGTCATGTTTTTGATGTAAAAATATGCTTGCTTATTTATTAATAATAGTGAAAAAATCTTCTTAGAAGTGTAAAATGGAAAGTAATTTCTTGTTGAGCAATTTTCTCTTTATGAGTTTTATTTTCCTGTCTTTTTGAAGCATTTGGTAATAATTCAGGACTGTGCTTATTTTCATTTGAGTATTATTATAAGCTTTACCAACATCATTATCATCACTGCTTGTCATCATCATTACTTGTTAGCTCTATAACCCTAAATGGAATCTCTTTATCAAGATCTCATCTAGCTTCATAGAAAGTTTCACTTTGGATTAATGTTCAGGATACAAAACACAGATGACCCTTACTCTCCTCTTCATCACCATTTCTTCCTACCTTCAATTGTCTAGCCTTTGTCTTTTGGTGTGTTGTACTACTAATATTTCATTGTCATGACTAAGTACTAAAACATAACAATTTCAGGGAGAAAAGGAATTTTCAGATCAGGTTTAGAGGGCTTGATTAGTTGCTTCCATGTTTGCTGGATCCTGCTCTAATGAGTCTACTAGGGTATCTGAAATAGGATGCTGGGACTGAGAAAAGACAAACTGTTGTGGCATCTGCCTGGATCCTGTCGCCGCTTTAGCCACCAAATAACACACAAGACACTATA